TGGAAAAAATAACCCCAGCTATACATATAATTTGATGGCGGCTAATTTAACTACAACTAATCAGGAAAGAGATCTTGGAGTCATTGTGGATCATTCTGTGAAGATGTCCACGCATTGTGCAGCGGCAGTCAAAAAAGCAAACAGGAAGTTAGGAATCATTAAAAAAGGGATCGAGAATAAGACGGAGAATATCTTATTGCCCTTACACAAATCCATGGTACGCCCACATCTGGAATACTGCGTAGAGATGTGGTCTCCTCATATCAAAAAAGATCTAGTGGCATTGGAAAAGGTTCAGAGAAGGGCAACTAAAATGATTGGGGGTTTGGAACGGGTCCCATAAGAAGAGAGATTGAAGAGACAGGGATAAAGCTTATGCTCCTACACTTCAGTTAGTCTATAAGGTGCCACAGGACTCCTTGTCGCTTTTGCAGATTCAGACTAACACAGCTACCCCTCTGATCCTTGAAGAGACAGGACTTTTCAACTTGGAAAAGAGGAGACTAAGGGGGGGATATGATGTAAGGATTAGAAGACTAATGGAGGTCTATAAAATCATGAGTGGTGTGGAGAAAGTGAATAAAGAAAAGTGATTTACTTGTTCCCATAATATAAGAACTAGGGGCCACCAAATGAAACTAATGGGCAGCAAGTTTAAAACAAATAAAAGGAAGTTCTTCTTCACACAGCGCATAGTCAATCTGTGGAACTCCTTGCCTGAGGAGGTTGTGAAGGCTAGGACTATAACAGGGTTTAAGAGAGAACCAGATAAATTCATGGAGGTTAGGTCCATAAATGGCTATTAGCCAGGATGGGTAAGGAATGGTGTACCTGGCCTCTGTTTGTCAGAGGGTGGAGATGGATGGCAGGAGGGAGATCGCTTGATCATTACCTGTTTGATTCACTCGCTCTGGGGCACCTGGCATTGGCCACTGTGGGCAGACAGGACGCTGGGCTGGATGGACCTTTGGTCTGACCCAGTACGGCCATTCTTATGCGTGGTTCTTCCAGGGTACTTTCAGTATCCCCGAAAAACCCTGCTGCATCCAGGGAACACTTTTTTCCCCCACAGAAGAGCAAACATGCTCTTTCGGGGAGCCCTGTATTCTGTGTTTCATGAGGAATAAGGGCTCCTCAGAAAGAGGAGGCTTTTCCGCTATTTGACCCCATCTCAATAGGGCCAAATGGCAGAAAAGCCTCTTGCGGGGGGGAAGAGCTATAGAAAATGCGAAGTGCATTTTGTGTAGTTTTTTCCGCAAAAACATTGCAGTCTAGACCTAGCCTATGGAGGGATATGCTAGAGGTCTATAAAATCATGACTGGTGTGGAAAAAGTGAATAAGGAAAAGTTATTTACTTATTCCCACAATATAAGAACTAGGGGTCACCAAATGTAATTAATAGGCAGCAGGTTTAAAACAAACAAAAGGAAGCTTTTTGTCACTCAGCAAACAGCCTGTGGAACTCCTCGCCAGAGGATTTGGTGAAGACTAGAACTTTAACAGGGTTCAAAAAAGAGCTAGATAGATTAATGGAAGTTAAGACCATCAATGGCTATTAGCAGGGCTCAATGATCACGGCGAAAACCACTCACTAGCCCTGCACTGCGCATACGCGAACTGCCGGTGAATAGGGTGATCGGCTGAAATCTACTCACCACGGACAAGTAGATAAGCGGCTCTGTCGAGCCCTGGCTATTGGCCAGGATGGGTAGGAATGGTGCCCCTGGCCTCTGTCTGGGAATGAATGACAGGAGAGGGATCACTTGAGGATTACTGGTTGTGATCCATCCCTCTGGGGTACCTGGCATTGGCCACTGTCGGCAGACGGGACACTGGGCTAGATGGACCTTTGGTCTGATCCAGTACGGCCGCTCCCATGTTCTTATCACTCTGACCTTGTGTTCACTTCCTACACCAGCAGTCTGGAGTTCCTCTCCTCAGTTCCATCCTAGGCCCTCTCTGACCCTTGCTCTCCACAGAAACTGCTCTTGCTGAAATCTCTGATGACCTATTCCTTGCCAGTACTGTATCTTCCCTTCTCGAGAGCTGCCTTTGATAGTGCTGGCCGTGCTCCTCCACTCGAAGTCTTGCCTTGGTGTCCATGACTGTCCTCTCCTCCTACACCTCTGCATTTGCTCCTTTAGCATGTCCTTCGGAGGGTCCTTTTTTCTTTCTGTGGGGGTTCCATAGGGGTCTGTCCTTTGTCCCCTTCTCTTCTCCCTCCACATCTTATCTCCGAGTAATCTCATCTGCAAACACAAATTCAGCTTCCATCTCCATGCTGATGACTCAGATCTACCTGTACTCCACACGTGTCTTGTTCTGCCAAACCACAACCTTGGCCTGAATTCTCTTCATGGATGTCTAGACACCAGCTGAAGTGCAATCTGGCTAAAACAGAGCTGCTTCGTCTGCCCTGCTAGCTCCTCCTGTGGTCACTGAGGACCGCCCCCCCAGCCAGCATTCACTCAGGCCTGTCACCGCGATACTTTTCCCTCTGGCCTAGACAAAGGCGACCATGCCCCACCCGGACCCATTCAGAATGCTGCTGCAAAGGTCCCTGCCCTAGGCCAACGCACACTGGGCACAGATGCTGCAGGATCCCACTGCAGGATCCACTAACAGGGCCCTGGGAGGATGCCTGGGCATTCTGCTTGACTCATGGACATCACACGTTGTAACAGCTCTTAAATGAAGTAGGTGGGAGAAGGCAGGAATCCACCCATGGTGTAGGGTTTTACATCACACCAGCCCAAGAGCTGCACTCGCCAGGACTCTGTGTGGAGCAGCGGTGGGGTAGGAAGGGAAGGGAGCACTCCACCAGTGGAGGACTGAGAGAGGAAGACTTGGCAGCATCTCCTACATCAGTGTTTCTCAACCAGCGATATGAGGACCCTTAGGGGCACTCGAGAGAAGTCTGGGGGGGTACGTCAGTACAACTGAAATTTGGAGAAAACTGAATTTTTGTTTTAAGTTTTACAGCGTTTTATTATTTTTATACTTTTTACACCCAAAAATTTCATTGCCTGTCCAGCTACGATTAAGTTGTTTAAACAAATGTGTTGCAATGGGAGAAAAAAAATTGTGTGTCTGAAAACTGTACGTACTGGGGGGTCTTATAATTTGTTTTTTAAAAGGGGTACTTTGTAAAAAAGATTGAGAAACACTGTCCTACATGACTGGAGGTCACATTCCCGTGATCTTTTCTGGAATTTTGCTTCTTAGCCAGGTCCCCTCAGCTGCATATGCTTGGTCCCAGCTTTAAAATGCTCTTCCTGGACTCTGATCTGCACTAGCCCAGAAGAGCTCAGCTCTTGGGGTGGCTCAGATACACCTGGCCTGTGATGTGCCATGGGCTCGATCTATTGAAAGTACAGAGCTGGGGCTGCTGGACACCTAACTGCGCGGACATGCACGTGACCGTAGTCTCCAGTTACAGAAGCAAGTGCTATTTTACCCAGGGCAGACCTGGGCCAAATCCAACCTGCCAAGCCACAGGATCCGGCCTGCAGATCACCCCCGAGGCCCGCAGCAGCTGCAGATTAAAGCGCAGTCAGTGGGCTCTCTGCTCTGCAGGGAAGGGGAGGCGTGTGATCTCCCTACCCCCAGCTCCTATTGGCTGGAAACAGGCAGTGATCCACGGAACAAGGCACACTCCTCCTCCAGCACATTCCCAGCTCTGCCACCGGACTCCACGTCACTGCAGCAGCCTCAGACCCGTTTCCCACCTCCCCCCAGTCCGGTGAACTCTGTGCCAGGCATGCGGAGTGAGGCAAGGCCCTGCAGCAGCAAGTAGCATGAGACACCACCCCAGCTATGGGCCATCACAGCCCATGTGTACAAAGGGTGCCCAGAGGACAGTAGTGATCTTATTTCTTGACTTGTGAACTCTCTCGCACGCTCTCTCTGGACTTGCCTGTGCTTTTTACAGGGAGAAACAAAGACCCTGCCAGAGGTCAGGCAGCTTGGCTCCCACGCAACTGATTTCCCAAAGAAGCGAGTAGGCCTGCTCCTGGCCCTGTCTCACTCAGGTGCCATCATGCACTTGTGCAAGAGGAACCCAGCCCCCCACCAAGGGAGGGGAACCTCCACCCCAGGTCCACATGCCGCCAGTGCCAAGGGATGGGAGCAGCCTGGCTTACATGGTACAGAACAAGGGGCCAGACACTCCCATCCACCTCTTAGCTGAGCTAAGCAGGTGTCAGCCCTGCCTCCACACAGGTCTGAAGGTTACAGCTAATCAGGTGCCTGGCAGCACCATGGCAGACACTATTCAGTATAGCCAAGGGGGGGAAGGGGGAAGAGAGGCATGTGTCCTCCCCTGCCTCTCCCACCAAGAGCCTTAGGGAACACACAGGGGCGCAGTGCTCCCCTATGGCCTCAGAGGACAGAGCTCCAGCTGCCCAAAAGTCCTAGCAGAAACTGTTGGGAAACATGGTCAGAGGCTCCTCAGTCCTGCATGGGATCGTGGTGCCTGCAGGGAGGGGCCCTGGAGCCTGAGCACAGGGCCAGCTCCACACCCCCTAACTAGGTATGTTAACCATGTTCACAGATACATGTTAACTGACAAGCCTGAGCTTTAACTCTCAGTTACATGCCCCACCCCCACTGCCTCTGATGCAGAGCCTGTGGGGGAGAGAGGGGAGTTGGGAGTCAGTGCTTGGGGGAGCTGGCTTAAGAGATAAAGCGGCAGCAGCGTGGGCTGGGGGTGGGGCAGGAGCTGGTGCGTGTGGGGGGCAGCACCAGCTCCCACCTGCCCCCTGCGCGTAAACGTTTAACTGCTAAGAATTCAGGTTACACGTTTACACAAATAAACATCCCTGGCTGCAACCAGCCACAGCAGCTGCTGCCTGGCCTCCCAGCGCCTAGCAGAGAGAGCCAGCTGGCCAGCCACTCCTCCTGAGTGCATCCCTGCACAAGGGTCTGGCAGAGAGCAGCTCCAACCAAGGGCTTTCCCTGCAGGCCCCCACTGGAAAACGCCTGAGGACCATAGACAAACCTTCCGAGTCCTTCTCAAAGCCCATGAGCTTGTCACTGCTGTCCTCAAACTCCAGCTCCTGTCCCAGCAGCAGGTCTCTCTGAAGCACCAGGCCCCCTCCTGTTGTTTCTTCCATGCCGTCGTCACGGTCCGCCAGTTGCTGCAGGGGCAAGGAAATGTGCTATCACAGGCCGTTGTGCAAGCATGGAACGGGCCTTACCACTAGCGCTGGGAGCCAGGACCGGGCTCCAACACAGCCAGACACCGGCTCCACGGAGAGTCTTCCACATGCTACCAGCTGCCTGGGAAACGCTGGGGTGAAACCCTTGGTCCCAATGTCCCTGCTCAGGCTGATCCATCAGCCTCATGGATCAGAACTCCCAAGGCATGCAGGGCAAGCCGGCAAGAGAAAAGCAAGCTGGGGTCTCAGAGTGACACAAACCCAGACACTTCCCTTTTCACACCCACTTCCTGTGTGAAGGGAAAATTATTCCCTCCATGCTTCAAGAAGCAGTAGGAGCTGGGGTAGGAGCCAGGCCACTTTTCAGGGCAGAAGCACTTTAGCAAAAAGGTACAGGCAACCCCAGACCTGCCATTATCTACACACAACCTGGCAAGTTCTGGCCCTACACTTGCAGGAGACTCAGGTAACCAGACCAAACTGCTTTTTGGCAGGCAGCTGTTAATGCAGGTCAGGGTCAGCGAGCACAGCCGGGTGTCAGTGAGTGAGTGTGCTGGCTTGCATGAACACAGGACATGCAGCTGTTAATGCAGGTCAGGGTCAGCGAGCACAGCCGGGTGTCAGTGAGTGAGTGTGCTGGCTTGCATGAACACAGGACATGCAGCTGTTAATGCAGGTCAGGGTCAGCGAGCACAGCCGGGTGTCAGTGAGTGAGTGTGCTGGCTTGCATGAACACAGGACATGCAGCTGTTAATGCAGGTCAGGGTCAGCGAGCACAGCCGGGTGTCAGTGAGTGAGTGTGCTGGCTTGCATGAACACAGGACATGCAGCTGTTAATGCAGGTCAGGGTCAGCGAGCACAGCCGGGTGTCAGTGAGTGAGTGTGCTGGCTTGCATGAACACAGGACATGCAGCTGTTAATGCAGGTCAGGGTCAGCGAGCACAGCCGGGTGTCAGTGAGTGAGTGTGCTGGCTTGCATGAACACAGGACATGCAGCTGTTAATGCAGGTCAGGGTCAGCGAGCACAGCCGGGTGTCAGTGAGTGAGTGTGCTGGCTTGCATGAACACAGGACATGCAGCTGTTAATGCAGGTCAGGGTCAGCGAGCACAGCCGGGTGTCAGTGAGTGAGTGTGCTGGCTTGCATGAACACAGGACATGCAGCTGTTAATGCAGGTCAGGGTCAGCGAGCACAGCCGGGTGTCAGTGAGTGAGTGTGCTGGCTTGCATGAACACAGGACATGCAGCTGTTAATGCAGGTCAGGGTCAGTGAGCACAGCCGGGTGTCAGTGAGTGAGTGTGCTGGCTTGCATGAACACAGGACATGCAGCTGTTAATGCAGGTCAGGGTCAGCGAGCACAGCCGGGTGTCAGTGAGTGAGTGTGCTGGCTTGCATGAACACAGGACATGCAGCAGTTAATGCAGGTCAGGGTCAGTGAGCACAGCCGGGTGTCAGTGAGTGAGTGTGCTGGCTTGCATGAACACAGGACATGCAGCTGTTAATGCAGGTCAGGGTCAGCGAGCACAGCCGGGTGTCAGTGAGTGAGTGTGCTGGCTTGCATGAACACAGGACATGCAGCAGTTAATGCAGGTCAGGGTCAGTGAGCACAGCCGGGTGTCAGTGAGTGAGTGTGCTGGCTTGCATGAACACAGGACATGCAGCTGTTAATGCAGGTCAGGGTCAG